AGCATGACCTGTGGTCACATCGGCTAGGCAGGGAAGGGCGATGGGAAGCGTCGGGACACTGGAAGCTTCCATAGCCATTCTGTGAAGGTAACCTGTGAGCCAATTTTTGAAAAGGGAGAAGAGAATTAGCCACAAGGATCCCTGGGGGAAACGTATTCCAGGTTAGAAATTACTCCCAAAAGTGTTACTTTGAGAGTTCATGGACCAGAGTGGCAGGAGCAGAAGGAGTGAGGAGAGGAATCCTAGGTAATGAAATCAGAAAGCGACAGTGAGCACAGCCATGCAACCTGGAGAGCACTTGACCCCGTGTCTGGCATGTGCTCCCTCAAAGGTGACCCCAACAGCCACCTCCGGGACTGTGAGCTTCCAACCGAGAGAAGCCCTCGGAGCAGCATCCTCTTCATTTCTGAATATCTCGCATCTCCTGGAGTGCCCAGCACACAAGAACAAAGTATTTACCATCATGTTACACCTAGGACTGTGATGTGAGGTCAGAGCATGAAGCTATTAATTTATAACATGTGATACACCCCTCTCCTCCACGGATTACATCAGCCGCTACCCAGGACACTTCCTACCAGACATCCAGGTAGTTAGGTAGCCTAATCAATCATGAGAAAGCTGCTTAGTAAGCGTGGAATAAGGTCAAGGAGAGCTGGGGAAGCCTAGGGGGTGTCCCTTGTGGTCCTCCCTGCCCTGGCAAGTTTACAAACCACATGATGTGTCGGGCGAGTACTTGGGATCAAAATGGGAAATGGAACACACACACAACAGGGACCTTGTTGGTTGTTGTCCAAGACTTGTCCCCTGTTCCCATCCCATAATTCGTAGCTAGCAGACACCAAGGAGCCACATGCTTCGGGGGAGGCTGAGCCCCCTCCCGCCCCCCCAGGAGAGATTCACAGTGGATCTAAAGCCATCACAGTGACCCCATTCTCCTTGAAGGGGTTACTTAGGCAAAAGCCCATGACACAATTCTGACTAACAGGACATGACCAAAGGACTATGGGGAGGGGGGAGCTCTGGAGAAGCTTCTTCACCCAAACAGATTTGCATGAGGAGAAGCTGGTTTTCTGCTTCTTAAAGAGCTGTGAGTGGACGCAGCACGGGAGCTGATACAGCTCTCTTGCATCTGGGCGTGGACACCCTAGGGGTTAAAAGTCAGGTTGCTGAAGATGACAGAATTGGAAAATGGAAAGAGCTCGGGTCTTTGTTCACATTACTGAGCTGTTAATTAGTCAGCCTTGGAAATGTCCTAAGTCTAGAACTGTCTATGTCATATGGGATAATAAAGGTGCCTTTTATCTAAAGCAATCTTGTTTGGATCTTATATTAGTTTGCTGGGGCTCTCATAATAATACGCTGCAGACCAAGTGGCTTAAACAACAGAAATTAATTTTTTCACAGTTCTAGAGTCTAGAAGTCCAACATCGACATGACGGCGGGTCTGAGGAGGCCTCTTTCTTAAGCTTGTAGATGGCCACCTTCTTGTGCGTCCTCACTGGGCATTCCTCTGCATGTGCATCCATGGTGTCTCTTCCTTTTCTTGTAAGGACACCAGTCATATCGGGTTCAGGCCCCATCTTGATGACCTTATTTAACTGCAATGATCTCTTTAGAAGTCCGGTCTCCAAATCTAATCACATTTGGCGTTAGAGCTTCAATGTGTAAATGCGGGAGAGGGTGTGGGGTGGTACAATTCAGTTCATAACAGGTCACCCCTTAGAGATAATATACCTCCTCTTAGGTCATTGTGATAATCTTGGGGTGTCAGTGCAAGTCTACTGTCACAGCATCTGATGGCAATTATAGGTTGCCCCCTCAAACTTTTAATTTATATAATTGGATATATTATTTTTCAAGCCTCTCCCAACTCTGAGATTCCATGAGTATGTTTATTGCTAATATTTTGAAAGTTATCATCACGGTTATATAACAGTTGAAGTACTTTCAGCTTCAAGGAACAGAAATATCTAGAAAAATGCAGCTACAAGGAACTTAAGATGCATCATACAAAAAAAAAAAATCCAGAGGCAGAGAAGTTCCAGAATGAGTTAATAAAGTTGCTTAATAAATGATCAGTCAGGGCCAAGATTCCTTCCATCCGTCCAGCCTGCCAGTTGCCAATGTGTTAGCAGTCCCCCTATGGTCACAAAATGACTGCAGCAGCTCCAGCTATCAGATCATTATATAGAACCCCCATAAGCAAGACGAGGAGAAAGAAAAATATCTTCTCTTCTTTCCATTTTATTTTAAGAACGAAGAAAGAATTCCATAAAGTTTCCCTATTAGCCTCTTGCTAGGCCGACCTCTGTTGCTAACTTACCATGATTGGTCTAAGTTGGCAGGCTTCCCCTCATTTCTCCTTGATAGAGGCAGGTAGCAAACATGCCAAATCATTTAAAAGCACAGTGGGGCGGGGGCATCTGGCTGGCTCAGTCAGAAGCGTGTGTGTGACTCTTGATCTCATGGTGGTGGCCTCAAGCCCCACATTAACTACAGAGATTACTAAAAACAAGTAAATGAACTTTAAAATATTTAAAAAGAAAAAAAAAACCAAAGGGGGATGAGGCCTAAGCTAATTTCTTTTTAGAATTTTTTAAAATTTTAAATCGATTTTGCAACATCTACTATACATCATTAGTTTCAGATGTAGTTTTCAGTAATTCATTAGTCGTGTATAACAGCCAGTGCTCATCATACCGTGTGCCCTCCTTAATGCCTGTCACCCAGTAACCCATCCCTCCACCTACCTTCCCTCTGCAATCCTCAGTTTTTTCCCCAGAGTTAAGAGACTTCCATGGTTTATCTTCCTCTCTGATTTTCCCTATTGTTTCACTTCATTCCCTTATAGTCCTTTGCACTGTTTCTTAAATTTCACACAAGTTGAAGTTGTTTCTGTCCCAGCCAGTTACATTAGCGTCCGAACTCACACTCAGAACAGGTCTGTAATATGTTACTCTTCTCCTCCAACACCCCTTCCAGGATTACGTCTTTTCTTTGGCCGTCTAACATTCAAGATCCATGGAACTACCGCTCATTATCGTTCTCTGGCTTTGATTAATTTTTTTTCCAACTTCCTTGGAGCTGATGAGAGGTCAGCCTCTGCTGGAACAATGTGCCCTGGAGAAGAACTAATCAAGTCAAGATTCCACGAGCAAGAAAGGACACGAAGATCTAAGATGTAACGACCACATTACTACCATCCCACACCGGAGCTGACTGTGGGCCTGCATATTTGATACCAAGTCCACCCTGAGAAATCTGAAAGAACACAGAGACAGTTGTTCCCACCCTGGTAGTCTCTAGAAATATCAGAAGGTAGGGACAGAAATTTTCAATATCTCAAACACCCCAGGAGAAAAATGTGTACAAAATGGCTGAAATATTACTTTTTTTTTTAAACTAACTGAAATTCTTTAAAGCCTGTGTGCTAAGGATTGTTCTCTCGTGCTCATCAGGAGCTCCAATGGCTCCGTAAGTATGTATTTAATAAAAGTTTTCAATAAATTAAGAACTAAAACATCTTTGAAAAATAGACACTGGTAAAACAAGGAAGACATGAAGGAAGAATGAGTTTCTCAGGTTATTGCTGAGAAAAACATGAGAGCTCACGGATGCCCAAACTATTCCTTTCCTCAAGGAAATGTGAGGGATTTCAACTAGTCGTGGCTCAAGAGGGCTTTCCTCTCTAAAGAGACAAGAAGTAATGGTTCCCAGACATTGGGCCATTCAATCTCAGCCCGCTCTGTGCCTGGGCAGCTATCTTTCACCCTGACCATATGCTCCCAAATCACCATCTTTCCGTATCATTAACTCAGGACACCACCAGAATTTCTTGAATAAACGCATTAATTAATCTAAGTGGAACGTAATAGGCACCCTTATTATCTTTTTGTTTCTAGAAGAAAAGGACCGATCGACAATAAGCACTTAAAATCTATCAGCAAGATATACTTCTTTGATATCATAGACATTTGCATTTTACGCCCCGCAATTGCCATTTGCTAACAGTAATTTAATTGTTTAATAAAACACTGCGAAGGAGAATAAACATGAATGAAATGGTGAACACTTTACAGGAGTCCTTCCAGTTTTATTTCTCAAAAGTGACAGCTATATTCAGCAATTTAAAAAAAAATTGATCAAAGCCAGAGAACGACAATGAGAGAGATAGTCCCATGGCTCTTGAATGTTAGACGGCCAAAGAAAATCAGTAATCCTGGAAGGGGCGTTTGAGGAGAAGAGTAACATATAACAGACTTGTTCTGAGTGTGAGTTCGGATGCTAATGTAACTGGGTAGGACAGAAACAACCGCTTGGGAAGAGCGTGCACTGGGATTGCACACACACACACCCCCATCCTCCTACCGTTTACATCAGGTACTACTAAGGCAGCTCGCAATGTGCCCGTTGTGGAGTTATCTACCGAGCACTGACCTCAAAGATTGTTGAACGATATACTCGAAGAAGGGTTTGTTTTTTCTTTTTGTAAGTGAACGACTGTGGCTGTATCCGTGCCCTGGGGAAGTGGATGCAGCAACGAATCTGATTCTCCATCTCAGACTGGAAAGGCCACGTCCTAAGGAACTCTCTGGTCCAGGTACTGGGGACATACAAGTGGGATAAAGGACAAAGGAATGGCCCCAGGGATACAGAAAGAGGAGCCAGAGTGGGGTTCAAGCTCAAGCCTCGGAGCCCAAGCAGAAGGGTGGGTCTTAACCCAAGATTTCTCTGGAGTCTTTGGGAATGGTGCGTCTTCACCACAGTCTATGGGGCACCACCTCTTCTCCACTTGCCTCTGTTGTCTCCTCTTCGGAACTGGCTTCTTCGCTCTCTAATCTCTGAGTCTTTCTCTGTCTTGAAGCGTCTGCTCACTCACAACCACAGCTCACGGATCGTTTTACGTCACTCGTGACCTAGCCCCATCCCAACCCGACCCCGGCATCTTCTTGCCCCGTCGCTGACCCCCTTATTCCCTTGGCACCTCCCACCTGCAGTGCCCAGGAGACACCGTCGACTTGGCTCAGGTTATGCTTCCGTGCCCAGCTCATGCCTCAGCCACTGACTGCCTTCGGGCCAGGCGTCCAGCAGGGTGTGCAGCCTCTGATGTCCGGGGAGAGGAGGACGCCTGGTATCAAATATGACGTGCCCAGGGCCCGTTCCCCACGGGGGCCTGAGGATGAGGTGCCTGCCTGCGGAAGCTCTGAAAGGAGGCCAGGCAGTGTGACTGACAACACTAGTCAACAACAACAACAACAACAACAACCAGACCCTAAACCAGGAGAACTCAGTTGGAAGACAGGCCGGTAGGCGGTTCTTAGCAGGCGGCGGATCTCCCGGGAGTCAGTGAACTGGGTCACCTCCCGTATCTACTTTAGGTAATATAACCATAGTCTAAACTTCTTTCAACCTGAGAGTAAATGCTGGTAATTACGACAGATACTTTTCCGGTCCGCTGGAGTCGTCCCGATGCAGCCAGCTTTTTGAATCAAAACAACTTTGACAGAGACCCGCGGGAACCTGCTGTCGTCTCTAACTCCCGGGAAACAGACGTCCTTCAGAACCCACGCATCAGGACTCTCCATCCTGCTGGTAATCAGTTCTGCAGGAGACGTTTCAAAATAAAGGGCGGTTATTATTTATTGTTTGTAATGAAGCCTACTCGGCCCGGAGGGACGTTGTGAGGATCACTGTCAGATTTTGTAAAATGTCTCTCGGCTTTTCAGTGGAAAGGTACTATATATGATAATAAAAGAAATGGCAATAATATTCTTGCACTACCCTGACACTGAGTTCATCTTTGTCTTAAAAAATAAGATAGTTCATCTTTCGGCCTTGTGGGGATTAGTGGATTCAATTTGTTCCGAGGATGCTAAGGCTGATGATACAAGGTACTCGTTACAGAAGCACGTCCTCCAGCTCCTGTTCGGTTCAATACGTGCTGCTCTTAACCTCTGTTTACAGGGAAGAGCTGACCACCATGTGTAAACGCACAATCGTACTAATTGGGGTCTGAACACTATGACACTTTCAGGGTGGCAGAGAAAGAACTATTCAAAAGATGAGGCATCAGGAGCTCTGCAGATCTGCGTGGCGAGATGCACTCAAGGGCTCGTGCAGCTAAATATACACGCATGGCATAGAGACATGCAAAAGCAAGAAAAGGTGCTTTTTCAATTTTTTTTAAAAGACAAGTTCTGCATCTGGGTTGTGCTTGTATTGCTTTCCAGGGCACTTTGGATATTTCGTTTCGGTCCTACTAGGAACCTTGGAGCTAGGCGGAGCGCTGAGCTGTTGGGCCGGCTCCCCTGCTTGGAGCCTCTGACTACCCGGAGGGCAACACGGCCCAGGGGACAGCAGGTGCGCAGAACAGCAGGTGTCTCCCGTGGGGGACACGAGGACAGAGCCCATGGAAGCCCAGAGAGCCAGTGAACCTGGAGACCGGGGTACCAGGTGTCCGTGGAGATTGCCGATTGGTGTTCCTTTAAGCCCACGTGGGTTGGGGTGAAGAGAAGGATGTCTTTGTGAGGCAGTGACATTTGAAGGGGGCGGATCACTTGCATCATCCCTTTCTAGCAATTTCCAGGAGCCAGTGGAGGCTGAGCTGACATAAGCCATGGAGCCCGAAAACAGGCACCCTGTGGAAGACAAGGAGGGGCCTTGGAAACCCCAGATTCACACCGGGGCCCGGCGGTCAGCTCTCTGAGACCAGTTATCCCTCACGTGGCTGACGTGCAACTAATCCTCTGCAGACAAACCAATGGTTCTGATCAAATCACAACAGGAACCCAGCAAACGCCTCCAGAGGAGGCCCAGCCTCGCCTCCCCAGACACTGAGCAATTCCTGCCCCTTTGGAGATTATCCCCCTTCTCTGGCTTTTTTGGATTCTCATGTTTCAGAATTTCCAGGCTGCCTCAAACGTGGCAGCCTAGCGACTCACTCCCCTTATAGGAAACTTGGCTGTCACTCCACCACCTCGAGATCCAATTTAGACCTGCTTCCCCAGTTCTTACAACTCTTGCTCGGTTCGCTCCTCCCTTCCTTTCCAAGTGCATTTCTCCTTATCTCCATCAATCTGTCACCTTCAGCTCCGCCCCCTCGCCCGCTTCTTGGCTTCTGGGCCGCTGCCTGTGAATGGGAGACTGAAGCTCGCATTTATCACCTCGAGGAGAAGTCTCGCAGGCAGGCGCATATGCAGAGCTTCCCTCACACCCCAGAGAGGGGAGGGGGGGGAAGCGTGACACCTAAAAACGAATCTCTAGGGAGGGAGTATCCTGAAAATAGAGCAAAAGAACAAATCGATGCTGTTCTGCTTTCTTACAAAAACGAAACGACTCACAATGGAACTTTCCCTTTGCCGATGAGCTATTATCGAAGTGCTCGATACTAAAGAAATTCCACAAATTGCTAAATTCTCTTTAAAGGAACAGGAAAAAAGAATCCATGCTGTTCAAACCACTGCAGTGAGCCACGACAGAAAAAGGCTGCGAAGACAAAGCCCCGTGTGTCCCTCACTCGGTCACTGGATACTGGCACCGCCCAGGTCTGTGTCACCACCGGGAAGACTCGGCCACTCCAGCACCTGTTCTAAGGCACACCCCGTCGGAGCCGCTGCCTCCATTCACGGTCCTTGCTTCCACGGGCTTCACTCATGCATGTGTCCCTGGCGGCCCCAGGTCACATCCAAATGGTTGCAACAGCCACCTCCCGTGTAGCAAACACTGCTCCCTCCACCCCCAGGTGGCAAAATTGAGATAACAGTAGAGGGTGTCCAGTGATATAAATGGGGCAGTGAGGCTCAAGATCCAACATTTTCCCTGCTGGCAGCACCCCCAGCCAGTGTGGTGTCCTCATCCCGCCACACTCCTCCCATGAGTGACAACAGGCACAGTTCAATGCAAAGGCGAAGAGACAGTCATGCCCGCAGGGTGTCTCCCACGTGCTGGCCAGGTGTCTTGTTGGCACCGCCCGGTGGGTTATGGGAGATGGAACTGCAAGTCCCGGAGGAGGCGGCCTGCCACCACGTTGGGTCTCTATGGATTAACCAAGGGTCTCCTGTCTCTGGAATGCGCTGAGAGATGACTCTCAAGGAGTGGGGTGCAAGCTGGGCAACGCAGACTACAATGTCAGAGCCAGGGGGGAAAGACTCGCTCCATTAGCAGGCTTCCTTTTCACTCTATAGGTAGAAAAGAAAGACATGACATGTCTAGCAAAAAAAAGAAAAGAAAAAAGAAAAGAATGGGAAGAGAAAGAAAAGAAGAGCAAGCTGCTGCTAGTGAGAACTATCACCACGTCCACCAGACTGGGGTCTCCACTTACAGATGGTGGTTAGCACAGACGAGAGCTTAAACGGCATCACCTATACGTACACCAGAGCTTCTCGGCTCTCCTGGGGACCCTGTTTGGTCTTCTTTCCTCGGGGTCCTTTCGCGCTCTACAGTTTTCCAGTGTTGCTCTTTGCTCTAGGCGGGCATAGCATTCAGATCCCGAAGGGTGTTAGGTTGTGAGTATAGAAACGAATCTCATTCTGATTTGTTTTTGTGTCCGAAACTTCATATAGGCTGAAGGATGTGTGTGTCATCTCTAGAGGGGCTGTGAGGAGTCTGCTGCCTGTAGTGCCGTGGCCTCTGAGGTGATCCTAGAAGGTGATCCATTGCTATTTCCATTAGAATTTATTCAGAGTCTTGGCACGTCCCTTTCTGTAATGTGCCAACATTCTGGCCTTATCCACTGTGGAAACGGGCTTAAAACATTTCTGGAAAGGCTGCGTGCTGCTCGGTTTACGTGCTCCCTAGCCACACGTGTCCTCTTCGCCACCTTCCCCCCATCTCACCAACTGCTGTTCCAATTCACACCTGGCTTTTCATTACATTTTCCCTAATTTGAACATTTCCATTTGCTTTCCTCCCTCTCTCGTCTCCCCGCTAATTCTCTGGAGGGGAGGAGATTCTATCATCGTCGTCGTTATTTTCTTTTTTTCTTCCAAAGACTGGAAGAGCGGAGCTGAAATACTTGGGAATTGCCTAGTCCCATAAATATCAAAATACAGGTAATCAGTGGAAGCGGGTCCAGAAATCCCAACACCTGGACTGTGGTCTATTTTTAGTGACCCACGTTAGACATGGATGTAGATCCAGAACCCAGGGGCCCTCATTAATTATTTTTGGGAGCGAAAATCAAATCAGGTTTCTCAAGTATACACACGTCACAAAGCAAACTGTGCCACGACGATAACCAATCGGTCGACCTTACCATTGAGTATGAAGTTCTCAACAGATTCCTGTACAAGCTGGAAGAATGAGGCTCCAAGCTCAAGAGTAGTTCAGTTCTGTTAATAAGATAGAGCTTTCTTTTTTCTTTTTTTAAAAATAAAGACAGACACGTCATCATGTTAGCTCAATGGTGTTTCCTTTTAAGGGTGAAAGGACAAGGGAGCCCCACTGGCCCAGCACCCAGCCGCCGCTGCTGACCTTTTTGGCGTCTGAATCAGTGGCTAAAAAAGCTGCTTGCAACCTGCTTTGGTAAAGTTCAGCGGCGGTGATTTTTTCGTTTTCACGTGAGATCTGCAGGGGTTACAGAGAAAAAGAGGGTGCGCTTGTCAAAACATAAATGCAGGATGGCGGCCTGGCCCCATGGCCGGGGAGCTGGGGCCCACAGGTGCCCCCGCGGGACCCCACTGTGGAGCCAGTGGTTACAAGCCACAGGTGGCGGGGGGGCCTCGGCGGCAGGGGGCTCTGGCGCCCTGCTCTGAAGAGCACCCGGGCCTTTCCAGGGAGCGCCGAGGGTGGGTGATCACAGGCGTCAGTGAGCAGAAGAATAAGATCCTCCGCTTGGAAACTCAGATCCCCCATCCCACACCCTCAGACTCGTGGGGCCCGGGAATCCTAATTTTATATCATCCACACAAGTGACCGTGATGCAGCTGTTAAGAACCCCCGGCTGGGGTGCAGCATCCAGGACCATCCGGAACACAACGATGGTGACAACCAGGCAAGTGGCAAGACTCAGCATGTCTACAGAGGGATCTGGCTTCCTTGGAACCCTTTAAAAATGATACCACTTACCCATGAAATTGAATTATTTAGGGGCTATTTAATTAGGTCGCTTCCGTTTTCTGGAACTCTGACGTTTTGCCAGAACCCACGTGTCTTGATGTGGGATGCTCTGAATATGATCCTCATTTTGGAAGAAACCATGCTCTCTTGCTGTTACAGCACGTACTTATCTTTGTGGCTATTACATTCTGGAAAAAATAAAATCCACATGAAGAGAGAGACCCAGGTCCTGCTTCTCTTAGTTGCTTAGAAAT